TTAAACTACTTCAGTCTGTGTGCATTGAATTTATTTAATACACGAGTTTCACAATTTGAGTTGAATTATTGAAATAAATGAACTTTTCCACGACATTCTAATTTATTGAGATGCACCTGTATTTGGATCTCAAATTAATCGCAAGGTGTGGTTCTGCTAAAGCCGAATCTTTGAGTCTAATCCCCGAGCCTATATCCAAATGAGAACGGCATCAGATCCGACCAGCACACTGCAGTAAACCCTGCACAGTGTGTCTCAAAATATTGTTGCGCTGCAGTAAACCCTGAACAGCTCACGCTACACACCTCAGTAAACCCTGAACAGTGTATAACACAAATACTTATCCACACTGCAGTAAACCCTGGACAGTGTACAACGCATTTAATGCCGCGAATCACCATTCCCCTCCACAGAGCACGCCCAGTTTTCACGATTAAACCATCGTCCACCCCAAATTCATTCTCTTGCTGCAGTCAAGAATATTGAATGAAATGGGTCTGCAAGATATAGCTCTTAGACTCGACAGTTCGTACAGCAGAAAACCCACAGAAAAATAGAAGAGATACTCAACTCTCTATTTTGCCTTGCGGAGCATCAACAATAGTTCAATGGATCGATGAGATCCCAGCGGTGCCTCCAAAAACAGATGCAAAATCAGATCCATGTCAGACGGGTGGGTTCAAGAAAGTTGTAAATTTATTCAAAAGTTTTCAAAAATGCAAATAAGCAATAAAGAAAATCATAACTTGAAGCTGAAACAAAATTTTAAATACATTTTATGCTGGTTGAAAGTCTCTTCACATCCCAAGAGCAATCATTTTTGGGATTTTTGGTCCCTTGTAAATTTCACCATGTCATCTTTGGTGTTCTCTTCAGGATTTCTGTCCAGTCTCAGTTCAGTTTAATTTGAGTGACAGTTACCTTTTTCCTTTTGTGGTTTAGTTTCTTTCTGTATGTGCACAAGTGTCCATTTACTTATGCATTTTGAGGCTTATTGCTGTGCTTGTTTACATTTGTTTGGTTTTTGGTCATAGTTTATTAGCTGATTTTTCTAGGCTTTAATACACAGTGCACTGCTTGATCTCTGTGTATAAGGAATATCCACCCAATACATGTCCTCTGAGTGTATGTTTGTGTTTGCATGTGCATATGTCTATGTCTATGTGTGCGTGATTGTGTGTGTGGTACATTGTGATATAATCCAGCCTCCCGTTACCCCCCAGATGGTGGAGTCTTAACATTAAGCCCATGTGATTTTATCCCTTTATAAGTGTATGTATGGAGCTCCTATGGAAATGCTTGAGTTGTTTATTCATCGTATTGGTTTAGGAATCTCTTTGTTGCCATAGAGATTACGTCCGATCTGTTTTTCAGTTTGTTAGAGTGAAGACGCAGTTCTGGCTCTTTTCAGAGAGACACACCTCAACACACACACACACACACACACACACACACACACACACACACACACACAGATATTGTCTGTATGTATTGCATATCGCTCTTTGCATTATACAGGTTAGCGTGTGTGCAAGTGTGTGTGTGTGTTTATTGATTGTATGTTGTGCTGTTTGCAGAGATTGTGAGGCAGCTGAATGCTCTCAGCTCTATAGATGGAGATCCAGATGACTGCCTAAAGCAAGCAAATAAACCTGCCTCCTCTTCTGAAGGTCTTTCAGCTTTCACCTTCTTTCATTCTTTTATTCACACTCTCTCGCTATCTCACTCTCACTTTCATTCACTATATCTGTATTTCTCCTTCTTTTCCTCTTTTCTTCCATCCCTGTGGTTGTGCTGTGTTATGGAGCATCCGTTCATTGATATTATTTTTTTCCACATGCTATATTTCTCCTTTTTTAGCGTTCTTCATTTGTGACCTTGTGTCCTCGTTCCACCTTCTGCAGTTTGTAGTGAACCCAACTACCCCCGAAAAGCTTTGTTTCTGTAACCATGGAGTTGATGATCCTGGAATACATGTCCTTAAAGACACCACTGGTCATGAGTACTCTGATGGCCTAATATGGGTCAGGGTGACATGGTGGTGGAGTGAACAGAGACGTCACACCTTTCTTATCACCTCAGAGAGCACTTCACTCTGTCACCCGATACACACACAGTTCTTTTTTGGCCCACTGGCTCATGTTGTGAGTAGTAGTTCAGAATAAAACACTGCATCAGCTCTTCTGGAACATACGACTCTTTGGACCTGAAGGATCTTTGTGTGGTTCACTTCAAAATGCAGATGCCAACAATTTATTTATTGGTTGTTTTTGCCACAGTTTTGCTTTCATTCAAAGCTTCACCTGATAATTCAACGGTTGTCCTCGCTTATTGTTTTGGACTGATGAGTGATGTTCTCTTCTCTCTTCCTTCCTGTTCTGTTATCACTGTGGATGGATATTGATGGTTTAGAGCTGATCAGTAAGTTGAACTTCCTGGATCAGGAGGACCAAGACCAGAGCAACATGAGCTCTAACCCCTTCGATGAACCTATTGACCCGGTTGACCTTAACCCCTTTGGTGACCCGGATGAGGATGGTAAGGAGTGACCCTTGACCCTTTGTATGACCCCTTTGCCCCTTTATCAACAGGGCAGGTTGTACTCATTAACAAAATCTGAGATGCATGATGATGTATTAAGTGAAAAGGGAATGTTTACTGCAGCTGAATTTTGGAAAAGCATTCTTAAGATATTTAATTATGTAAATGCATTTGATACTATTTTCAAAAACAACTAATTGACTAGTTGGTGATTAAACTGACATAAAATGAAAATCTATTTTCTAAATGCATGTTAAAGATCTTATTGTGAATGATAGATCCAAGTATGTATTTTATTTAAAGTATGCAGAAATTATTACAGAAACTGTAACTGTTGAATATGATCATGAGATTATTCATAATTTTTATTTCAAATATAGTTTCTCTTCATGTTTATACATTTAATAGTACTGTAATGGTAGGTTTAATTTATATAATACAGGTGTAGATGCACATTTTTTTTGCTTGTGTATTTCTAGAACCATCTCCTAAGCCCCATGTGCGGTCCACTATCAGAGATCAGGAGCCTGTATATGATCAGAACACCTCTTATCCTTCAAACCCATTTGATGAGGCTGACATAGAAATGGACTCTTCTCAACATGGCAACCCGTTTGATGAACCTGAACCCGAACCCCAGCCTAAAGTTTCTCCACCCAGAAGCAGCAAGAGGAAGAATGTCCGGCCGGTGGACATGAGCAAATACCTGTACGCCAACACAACCAAGACAGAGGAGGAGGAGCTAGATGAGTGAGTCAAGGAATTCTGGGATATTCTGTTGGAGGGGCTGTAGGTTGGAGCAGAACATTTTAAGTGGTTATTTTTGAGTTATCAAAACAGTTCTGGAACGCACAAAATCTCTGTTTGCTCTTCTACTGTTCATTAGTAGTGCGTGAGTGTGTGTGCGCGTGTGAGCGAAGGAGAAAAGCACTTGTCGGAGGAGAAGAAAGTGGTGAGCGAGTTCTTTCAGCAGGAACAAGGCTTCTGTTGTTCCCCACATTCTTTGGCCTTGTCTGTTCATCTCTGCATTTCTCGCACTTACTCACAGTGCTCCAGCAGGGACGCACATTTCCAAACCTGACATTATGTAGCGAACAGGAGAGCAGAGGAGGGTAACTTTATAAAGCTGAAATGTTTATCTTTCCTATGTTAAATAACTGTCACTTTCTACTACAGCACGTGTATATATATATATATATATATATATATATATATATATTTCACACACATATACAAGCCATTACTCCAGTCTTCATTGTCAGGTTTATTTGTACAGCACTTTTCACGATACAAATCACTGCAAGGCAACTTTACAGCAAATTAATTTGCTACAATATTTAGTGGTAGCTTATCAGTGGTGACTGTCAGTTCATGTACATATGGCAGAAATGTACGGAAAAATCAATTTAAGACGTAATAAAACAGACGATGAACACTATTAACAGCAATTATTATATGATGCAATCAAACTTATAGCAAAATGTGGTTACATGATCCTACAGAAATCATTCTAATATGCTGATTTGCTGCTCATTTCTTCCTATTATTAGTGCTAAAAACAGTTGTGCTTCTTAATATTTTGTGAAAACTGCAATGCATTTTTAGATTTCTTTGATGAATAAAAAGTTCTAAGGATCAGCATTTATTTAAAATATTTTGTAACAGTATAAATGACTTTACTGTTTTGATCAATGCATCCTTTCCAAATAAAAGTATTGATTCTTTAAAAACTGAGCTTACTGAGCTTAAACTTTTGAATTATATATTTATACTAAATGCGAGCTGTATATTAATATTTAACAAAAGTTATTGATTCTTAAATGTTTTTTTTACAAAAATAATCTAGAAATTACCCTTTTAAAATTATAATTATTTTTCAATTATCATTTTTGCTTAGTCACACGATACATGAGACATATTTTAAAAAATTGCCTACTGTTCTCTGATCCCTCTACCTTCTCTTTCTGCTTTGCTTTCACTCTCTGTCTCTCGTCCTCTCTTTCACCTCCATTTGTTTTGACTGCACTTTCCACTTCTTTCTTTTCTTAACTTATTTGCGTTGCTGTCAGCTCTTTCCTCCCTCCTTTCTCACTCTCGCTCTTTCGCTCTCTGTCTTTGTCCATAAGCTTGGGAGCTTGGGATACTTCGTGTCTTTAACCTTGTCTTTCAGCTGAATACCTGTTCAGTCTTTTCTCAGCTCTGTCTCCTCATTGTGTGTGTGTGTGTATTCATGTACATGTGTGTGCCTGTGGTGAGTGATGGGTCTTTACACAGCAGTGTGTATTGATGCCAGCGGACGTCTGTGTCCGTCTGTCAGTGAGCTCTCCGACGAGGCCATAGGTTAAAGTTCGTGAGATGTGACCTCTGGAGCACCTGGTCCTTCTCATAGTCAGTAGAGCGTTTTATTGGCTAATAATGTTTGCTGATGTTTACCTGAAGACAACAACACACACACATTTGTCAGCGTAATATACAGACAAGTAGAAAGGTGCAGAAAATCTAAATGGTTTAAACTGGCTAAGTATACTAAATTGATAATTACCTGTAGGTAGTGTGAACAAAAACACAAGTGTCCCATTTCTACTGTGATTCGCCAAATTGTTATTTTGCTGATATTGCGGTTTGTTCTCCCACTCTTAGATCAAACCCATTCTATGAGCCCAGATCCTCTGGTGCAGTCACATCCGAGGTAGACAGCAGCATCTCCGAGAAGAGCACCAAACGCCAGGCCCCTCTGCCTCCTAGTGCTGGACCCAACCCTGCTGTGGCCCCTGGAGGCCCTGTACCAAAGACCTCAGCTCCTGAAGGAACACCCACTCCACCGGCTCTGGCACCCTCAGCTGTCTCAGCTGTTATAGGTAGAGAGTTGACCTCGTCCTCGCCCAAGGTAAATCTTCCTCACCACATTATCACTCTTATTTCCAATAGAGTATGATGTTAGTGTGTTGTTGTGCTGACAATAATTGCTGTAATTAGTATCAAAAACAAAATAGACTAAAACTAAAAGTTTTTCTGTCTTTAGACTTTTGGTATTGAGTTTGGTATTTGGTATTTTTCACCTCATTAGCTATCTTAAATTTTTACTGAGCTTGTCACAATGCATTCTGGGATTGTGATGCAATGCAGCCTTAAATTTTTGTAAAATGGGTTGCTTACAAGCCGGGTACCTATTGGTAAAGGCGTTGTTTTGGGAATTAACCTATGATGCCTTCATATGCTGTTACGCAGCTCATTAGGTTTGGAACACAGATACAGAATTGATCTTTTTTGGTAGATGAATACTAGTCTTTGGGTTACCTGTATTTTTGTAAACTTTATATTTGTTACTAGGGATGCACTGATACTAAATTTCTCAACCGATACCGATAACTCATTATCTATATAACTCACATCTGCTGATGCCATTATCGATACAGATACATGTAGCTTGGTTTTCTTAAGGAAGAAAATCTCTCCCAACTACATAACTATAATATTAAAGGTGATAATTAACAACAGAACCCAGACTATTGTATTCAACTGTTTTTATTTCTTTTCACATAGAATAATCACACTCAAAACTGAAATGTTAAAAAAAATGCATATGGTAGTTTGAAAAAACTATTATCAGGGTGAAAACATTTGTGCTGCTTAATATGTTTGTGGAAACCGTGATGTTTTTTTTGGGAATCTTTGATGTATAGGAAGTAAAAAAAAAAAAACAGCAAAAAAAGTGTCTTCAGAAAAATCCTTCTGGTCCCACAGAATTTTTGTGTATTTGAACCCTTTGCAAAAATGACTGTATGATTTTGAGATCCATCCTTTCACACTGAGGACAACTGAGGGACTCATATGCAACTATTACAGAAGGTTCAAACGCTCACTGACGCTTCAGAAGGAAAAACCATGCATTAAGAGCCGGAGATGTGTACATTTTTCTTATTTTGCCTAAATTCATGCCTAAATACATTACTGTCACTTTTGATCAATTTAATGTGTCCTTTCTGAATAACAGTATGAATTTCTTTAAAAAAAAAAAAAAAATCTTATTGACTCCTAACTTTAGAACATTGGGTGTTGGGACTTGATTTCTATCAAACTTCCAGATCACATGTTTTTAATGGAAAGTGAATCATAATCTGGGTGTGTCATTCTGGTATATCCTACAGGAGAAGGCCAAGTTTCACTGTCATCTTTACAGGCTCTTTATTTCAGTCACACATTTTTTCCAACAGTGCCACATTTCTCATTTCCCCTTTACCTTCTCTTTTTGATATCCTGGACCACTCACTCCATCCCTCTCATCTTCTTTCTGTCCTCTTCCTGCATGCTTCACTCCGAGCATTTGAATACAGGCATGTATTAGTTGCTCTGTAGAATCGTTATATATGCATTATGGTTCTCTTCACTCAGTGCTTTAGTGAGTCTAATTAACTGGCTCTGCGGTCCCTCACTGGCTGAGGGTGTGGGGCGAAGGGTGCAGGGGGCGAAGGGAAGCCCACCGAGTGTGAATAAGAGCGAGGCGTCGGGCCGCTGCAGAGGGGTTTATACATGGTCAGATTAAATCCCTACAGGCAGAGTGTTTTTATTTATGCCTGCGAGTGTGTGCGTTTTAATGTAGTCCATATTTAATTATAGCGAGGGTTTTATCACAGCGCAGCACTTGTGTGTGTGTCCACGCCTGAGAAGTCCTGCCCAACTTAAACATTTAATTACCCAAATTCAGTGGCCTGTGAGGACACACACACACACACACACACACATCAGGCAAATAAGCAAATTTTCCTCAGAAACAGCAAGTGGTGTCCAAGCTTCAACTCATGGATACGTTGGATTTGTGCTCCGAATTGCCCAGTGAGTACACCACTGGACACACACCACATCAGTCCGATTAAACCCACAGTGATTGGTCCATCAGAATGACTTCAGTATTTGGTTTTTGATCGAAGATGTCATATTTCCAGCAGAACTCCATTTATTCTGATCATGTGCTCCCTCGATCTCTATCCCACACGCACTTCGTACGGATTATGATTTCATTCTCTTGCTGTATGCTGAGGTTGTTTCCTCTGAGTGTGGCGTATAAAATGACCTTAGCATGAATAGTCAAATGGGATTAGCTGGAGACAGATGCACTATGGCTACATATTCAGAGTGAAGATACAGGGAAGCCTAAAGGCTTTGTTTATGACTTTTCTATGTGTGTTTATGTTGTTGCTAGAAGAACCCCCTTTTGCACACTTGAAGACCTGAGGTGAGGCAGAAGATGCAGGTTGGAAAAACAAATGAATAGGACGCTGTGATAATCTCTGAAAACACAAAATAAATGGAAATGTTGAAATTGCCATAGTTCATGGATTAGAGCAGCCCTGAAGACACGCATTCACTGAGCGAATCTGTGGGGCACATGGTAATGTCATCATGGTCTTGTAAACACAATCTGGAATAGTTTTGAATATTTTCTAAAGGGCGCTCCCTTTGGTTTATCGTCATTTCGCTAAAACGGCCTGGTCTTTGAGCTTTGTCATCGAGAAGTACACTTAAAATGGCTGCTGTAGTATTAAGTTTTATCAGCCAGTTTTTTTTCCTGAAATTTCACGTAAAGTGAAAAACAGAAATAATTGAATAACTCTAAAATTAGTGAATCAAAAAATGACTATCCATTTTTCATGCGGTGCATTATAATGTTATGTATTTAACAAAATGTTTTTTAACATGACATGATTTTGCCTCAGGCTTACCTTCAGGCTTTTTTTGTCACGTAGCTGCCTCTTTAAATTGTAAAAAGCGTCAGTAAGTTTGAGTAATTTTCACATTCGATTTTCAGGGATGGAAAAATCTAGACAAACGTACTTGGCTCTCAAGAACTTTGATATATTAGCATTTGAGGATGCTGTTTTTGAAATGGGTGAAGAATTAATCTGGACGAATCAAGGAAGAGTGGAATAGGATGTCTTGGGCTGCGAAAGTAGAAAGGGATGTTCTGATTCACTAGTACATCTTTTTCCTCCACTTTTTATCTCCCTCGTTCCTCTGTCGTCGTTTGTCTTTTCCAGCGAAGCGATTTTACACCTCCCTGCTCACCCCTCTCTCCTCTCTGTCGTTTAACAGCAGTCTTCCACACAGGGACGCACTGATCTGAGGATTTTCATCAGTTCACGCTTCATAAATTATGGTCTGTATTTTAATATAAAGAAACGGCAAACGCAGTCACTGCAAAGCTCTTTAGATTTACATAAAGCCCTCCGGGGTGAGGCGGTGCCGTCTTTAGGGCTAGTTCTCTCACAACCCAGGCTAAAAACTCGACAAAGTTTTGAGAAAGATGTTAGTAACTTTGTGCGATCATGTTCACTTTTTACTGATGTTTTACTTTATCTCTCTTTTTCCCCCTAAAGAAATCATGACAAAATAATTTAGCGTAGTAACCTTCCATTTTCTCCGTTTTTCTAAGTTTATGAAAAGGTTCTGAGTTAGTAGAACTAATCACAAGACCAAATTAAATGATGGTGTTCATGACCTGAGAGCCCACAGTGGCTCATTATACTTCTTTGTTTTCCACTCTCTCGGTCTGATTCAGACTGCAACATAGATAAATTGAAATTAAAGTAAATTAACTATTTAATTGAGTTCGCAGATGGCAGTGGCATTTTTAATTAATTTGTGTGAACACTGGTGATTTTGACTCCACATGGTCATTTTGGTGCCTCTGGTTCTTTTTCTCTGATGTACTGTAGCATCCCTCGTTTCAGTGTTTCAAACAGGGATGAGACGTTTAACAATAAGGAATTAAAGAGCACTTTTAAAGTTGTTGTCTTGAATTATATATTTTGCATTATATTAAATATTTTATATATACGTGTGTGTGTGTGTGTGTGTGTGTGTGTATATGAGTCCCTTGTTTGTCCTGAACAGTTAAACTGGAGTGAAAACTTTGAATTTGAAGATCAGGGTAAATTTAACTTTTGTCTTCTGGGAAACATGTAACTATCTTCTTTAGCCTCTGATGGGCGGTACTAAATGAATTAGGAAAAATAAGAAAAATGTACCCATCTCCGGCTCTTAATGCATGGTTTTTCCTTCTGAAGCGACAGTGAGCGTTTGAACCTTCTGTAATAGTTGCATATGAGTCCCTCAGTTGTCCTCAGTGTGAAAGGATGGATCTCAAAATCATACAGTCATTTTGCAAAGGGTTCAAATACACAAAAATTCTGTGGGACCAGAAGGATCTTTCTGAAGAACAGCAGGCAGTTTAACTGTTCAGGACAAACAAGGGACTCGTGAACAACTATCACTGAACAAAAAAAAACAAAACAGCTGTGGATCATTCAGGTAAGAACACAGTATTAAGAATCAAGTGTATGTAAACTTTTGAACAGGGTCATTTTTATAAATTCAACTATTATTTTCTCTTGTGGACTAAATGTAAACATCTTTTATGGAAAATATCTTCTTCAGGTCAGTACTAAATAAACAATAAAATGCATTTTGTATGATCCCTCTTATTTTGGTAAAATAAGTGACATTTTGCAGATATTGAAAGGGGGATGAAAACTTTTGACCTCAACTGTGTGTGTATAATAAAATAATTTTTTACAGTATATATACTGTAAATGTGTATATATATTTTTTATATAAAAAAGCATAATTTATCATAATTAGATGCTTTTTCATATTTTTCTCTTATTATTATTTTTTTGTGATTTTTATTTTTATTTTTTATATATATATATATTTTTTTTTCTTGTGAACTAACTTGATGTAACAATACTTTTTCCTCTGACTTTACTGTAAATGACACCACTTTTCTTAGTCTTTTCAAAAAGGCGGCTTCAGCCAAGCTCGTTTTTCCTGCTCCCTATTTCACCCCGGTCCAGTTACCCCTCTGAACCCTGGGCCAAGGCTTGGGGA